CCCGTGAAAACCTTAAAACCCTTCAAACAACCTCTAAATTGCAGAAAAACACTTAAAAAAAATTTCGGTTTGATATAATAATAATTACGTATAAAGTAAATAATATTTTGTTTTCTATCTTGATTATCAAATTTTTAACCCTTTTTAGACCCTTAAAACACCCCTTGATAAAAAAATTGTTTGAAAAAATTATTATAAAATTGAAAAAAAAAATAAGAAATTCAAAATGATATAATCGTTATTTCAATTTCTCGAAAATAATACCATATCCATAATTTGTTCAACTTTTAAAATTACCCTTAAATAAAAACAGTTAATATAACACTAGTACCCAGTATAATTTTGTCTAAACTCGTATATTGTTGTTCTTGTTACTGCAATTATTAACTTTCATTTGACTATAGTGATAAAAACTATATCAATTTATTTAACACGTGGACCTTTCAGCCATAAGATACTTTACTATAAGATGAAGATGAATATATTTCATGATCAACATAATAATACAAATTTTGTGGTTGGCTCACGAGATATACGCTAAACCAATTAATTCATATTATTCAAATATACGTTTTTATTATAAAGACACATTACCATATATATATATATATATATATATTATAATATATAGATATATATATACATATAATACATATATATACATATATATACATATATATATATATATATATATATATATATAGAGTCAATAGTTTTGGGCACCAAATACTGCTTACTTATACATTGCTCGAAATATGGACACAATTCGACATAAATGCGATCAGTTTTCGGGTCATAACTCCTTTATTTCGACTCCATCACAATTTGTAATATACCATTTGAAGGTTAATAAAAGGGCTGCAATTTCATCATAATTTTTTTCGTAACTCCTCTCATTTTGAAACGGTAAAGGGTTGAAGGGCTCGAGAGAGAATCTGATTGCGCAGCCGCGCACTATTTAACAATCATAACTCTGTCAATTTTTGTGTGAAAGAAAATAATAAAACACAATTATAAGTCAGAAAGATCCATTTGATTTTTATCTATATGCTTCTATACATATCTTTTATTCTTCTTGAGATATAATGAAAATAAGTTCGATTTTTAAAACAATCGGAAAAAACAGTTTTTATAAAATCGTGAGTTTTCTGAAAATAGTTTGTACTAAAATAGTGAATCTGCTAGAATCCATCAAGAGGTCTATAATGAAGTGAATTCTAGATGGAATGTGAATTACGTTAATTCTGGTGGAAATGGCGCTCATTAAACCATATGATTTAAAAGAAAAAAACATCGTATATGCTTTTTATTTGCATGATAGCTCACTCATTTTACACGCAAAAAACTTGTAATAGCACTCATTTTAAAGCTTATGTTGGGCACTATAAAACCCAATTTCACCGAAATGCATAAAATGTAAAACCTCGACACTAGATCGCTTTAAATACAACAATTAAATCTTGAACGAAATAAAAAACGACTTTGCTCTTTCAAATCTTGCTTAATATTATTCTTAGAACACTTTATAAAACACCGATTTATTAAGATTTTTATTGACGTTATTTTGTTCATTACATGATTTTCGTGAAAATACATATTTTAGGAGATATTTGCAAAAAAAAATGAAGAAAAACGCCAAAAATATATGAATTTTTAGTGGCCAGTAACTTGAAAAGTATAAGGTTGTCAAATATCTCCCTTCCGCCTTTTTGTATTATAAACCAAGAGCAAAAAAGCGGAAGGGAGATATTTGACAACCTAATATTAGTTTTTTTTTGAAAAACTATGAGACATTTTTTTCTTAAAATTAGTTCTATCGATTTCCGACGTTATTTTGAAAAAATTTAATTACACCGATTGAGCGTGTCATCCCCAAACCCGAATTGTTTTCACTTTTGAACTAGAGGGTAAGATGAATCTAATTCCAAAATTTCATGCAATTCGGAGCACAGTAAAAAAAAATCAGACCCAAAACGCTCCGTTTACTGCACTAATACATTTTCTATTACCATGGCACTTATTTATTATCTATTTTTTACTTACTTTACATTTATGTTGCTTTTCGACGTTTTCGCACTGCGACCTCCTGTGCCTCTCCAAAAGATCCCTATTCGGAAAGACCCTTTCGCAGACCTCACATTTATCATCGAATTGGCTCGGATCGTGCGTCGACATGTGCCTTATTATATGGTCGCTTCTCAAAAAGGCTGCATTGCACACCGAACAATATTGATATCTCCTTTTACTCGCTAAAGTTGCGGAACCATTCTGCTCATTTTCGCTATCCGACGACTCCGATTCGGTGAACATGTCGATGGCACTTGTCGTGGTAACCTGGGGTAATAATAGATATATGTCTTAAATATTTACTTCGACATTTATTAACTTCCCCGTAGGGTAGTTATAGTAATGGGCCGAAAATCGAAAATAAAATTTTTTGCATTTCTCGACGTTTTGAAGGTTTCTGAACATTTTTAAGGGGCATACCTCAGAAACTAAATGGATGTGTGTGTGTGTGCGTGTGCGTGTTTTGCCTTTTTCTATTGATTTTTTCTATTGATAGGGAGATATGCTGGTTAGTTTTTGGCAAAGACAGGTCCAGCCGTTACGGAGTTATGGAGCAAAGAGAGCAGAAAATACAAATCGAGTTTTTGAGAGAACGGATCATCCAATTTGTATGATCCAAAGACATTCAGTTTGTAATGCGGGGAAAAGTGGTTATTAGTTTTTGGCAAAGATAGGCTCAACGGTTTCGGAGATACAGAGCTAATGTTAAAAAAAATGGCAGTTTTTGATAGAACTACGCGTCTGATTCAAATGATTCAAAAAACTTTCTGCTTGTTTCAACAAAATAATTGCTTTTGGAAAAAAAATTTTTTGTTTCTAATTTTTTTTTTTCAAAAAATATTTTTGTAATTTTGGATTAAAAAATCAAAAAATTACCCAGGCTAAGCGCAGTCTAAGCGCCACTCTGGTGCAAATGTATACCCAAGTGCGTTTAGACTATTTGTGTACTGGAACTTTTCCAATTTTGTGAAAACTATTGAAAAATGTGCAAATGCCGCCAAGCTAAGCACAGTATAATTGAAAATGTCGCACAGAATTATTTGCAAATGCGTTTAGACTGTGACTATACCTTTGCACTTTTTCAATTTTGTGTATTTTGGCTTACAAAAATTTGTGAATATTTTGAGAATTTAAAAAAAATCGAATGTTTTCAAGAATTTCCAATTCTCAAAAAGTTAAAAAAAAAACCCAAAAAAACCTTTTGCTGTGTACACGGTGTACAAAAAATGCTTATTTCGTAATTTTGAAAATTTTCAAAAAAAAATAATGCAACATTTTCATAAAAATTTGTGAAAACTATTGAAAAATGTGAAATGCCGCCAAGCTAAGCACAGTATAATTGAAATGTCACAAAGAATTATTTTACAAATGCGTTTAGACTGTGACTATACGGGAGCATTTTTTGTGAATATTTTGAGAATTTAAAAAAAAATCGAATGTTTTCAAGAATTTCCAAATTCTCAAAAAGTTAAAAAAAAAATCCAAAAAAACCTTTTGCTGTGTACACGGTGTACAAAAAATGCTTTTGCAGAAGATTTCGTAATTTTGAAAATTTTCAAAAAAAAAAAAATAATGCAACATTTTCATAAAAATTTTGTGAAAACTATTGAAAAATGTGAAAATGCCGCCAAGCTAAGCACAGTATAAGTGAAAATGTCCCACAGAATTGTTTACAAATTGAGACTGTGACTATACAGGAGCACTTTTTTTGAATATTTTGAGAACTTAAAAAAAATCAAATGTTTTCAAGAATTGCCTAATTCTAAAAAAGTTAAAAAAAAATCCAAAAAAACCTTTTGCTGTGTACACGGTGTACAAAAAATGCTTTTGCAGAAGATTTCGTAATTTTGAAAATTTTCAAAAAAAAAATAATACAACATTTTCATAAAAAAATAATGTAAAAGTTTCAAAAAAGTCAAAAAAATGAAATTTTTATTCTTTTTCAAAACAATATATCTAAATTTGACAAAATTAAAAAATTATCAAAATTTAAAAAAAAAAACGATTTTTTACAAAAATTTGAGAATATTTCGAAATTTTCAAAAAAAAAACGAACGTTTTCAAAAATTTCCAAATTCTCAAAAACGTTTTTTTTCAACTATTTTTTTTTAATTGAATTCGAAATGAAATGACGTAATTTTGAAAATTTTCAAAAAAAAAAATAATGCAACATTCTCATAAAAATAATGAAAAAGTTTCAAAAAAGTCAAAGAAGTGAAATTTTTTATCATTTTCAAAAACAGTATCTAAATTTGAAAAAATTAAAAAATTATCAAAATTTAAAAAAAAAAACGATTTTTACAAAAATTTGAGAATATTTAGAAATTTTCAAAAAAAAACGAACGTTTTCAAAAATTTCCAAATTCTCAAAAAATTTAAAATAAACGTTTTTTTTTCCAACTATTTTTTTTTAATTGAATTCGGAATGAAATAACGATTGTTAATGTTCTGGAGATTAATTGATTGATTTATGATTTACATTTGATTTGCCCAGATATAACAAACAAGATAGCAAAAATAATGAAACAGTTACAGTATTTGTAATAATATATTTGAAAACATTTAATATTCCTCGATCATCTCGTTACGGTACGGGAAGTTCCAGCAATTTGCCTTAAGGCACGATGCCATACACCACTAGTTTAAAAATGTAATTACCTGAATAAATCTATTAACACCCTCTGCGCCTTTCTCAGTAAGATATCTCATAATTCTGTCGACCAAAGTTTCCTGGGTGTCAGTATCCAATATCGGTTCCTCCTTACCGTCTTCAGAATAGTCTCCTTTGAACAAATCAGGCCGAAGTCTCAGTTCGACACCTCGATAAGTATTGATATTACAATGCGTCATTAAATGTCGTTTTAATTGAGATTTCTGTATGAAGTTCTGACCGCAAATCTTGCACGAGGCTAATTTCTCACCTTAAAGTATAAAAAATAATTTTAGATATAAAATTCTATTATTAACTTGCCGCGGGGTAAGTTATTGTAATCGTCCAAAAAAATCGAAATTCGAAGAATTTTTTGCATAAATTTACGTTTTGAAGGTTTCTGAACATTTTGGCATACCTTAGAAAAAATGGATGTGTGTGTGTGTGCGGATACAAATTTTCATTGACCATTTCGGGACACGCTTCAACCGATTTGAATAATTCAAAAAACATTCGATTCGTATTGATAAGGAGCTGTACTGATTAGTTTTTACCATAGACAGGTATAGCCGTTTCGAAGATACGGGGCAAAAAGTGCCAAAAATTGTAATTCAGTTTTTGAGAGAAAATTGTAATTCAGCTTTTGATTTGAATAATTCAAAAAACATTTTATTTGTATTGACGAAATGAAGATCTGTTTAAATTTGTGGAAAGGCAGTTCTAGCGGTTATGGACTCTCAATAAAAACAAGTAAAAAAGTGCCATTTGGCGGTCAAAAATGTTCATTGGACACATGCACATCAAATTATCAGGTATTTTATGGAGTTTTTATTAATGTGTACACGTTTTGTTCCTTTTTTTTTAGGTTCCGTACCAAGATTTTTAATTTTGAAATTAATTTATATGGTTGAAACAAATGTCTTCTATAGTATGGAATAACCGATTTGTATGATTGAAAAAACATTCAGTTCGTATTCGATCGCGGGGCGTTTTTGCAAAAGGCACATCAAGCTGTTTCGGAGGAATGAAGGGTACACTCAAAGGGTGTACAAATGATCATGCAGTTTTGGAAAGAACGGATCATCCGATTAGATTAATTCAAAAAACCGTCTAAGTGTGCAAAAAATACTTTTACAAAAAATTTGTCATTTTGAGAATTTTCAAAAAAAAAATTAAAGTTTCGAAAAAAATCAAATTTTCGAAATTTTTTATCATTTCCAAAAAATCTAAATTTGAAAAAATTTAAAAAAATATCAAATTAAAAAAAAAGATTTCTTACAAAGATTTGATATATATTTTGAGATTTTCAAAAAAAAAATCGAATATTTTCAAGAATTTACAATATCTCAAAAAATTAAAATAAACGATTTTTTCAAAAAAAAACCTTTTGCTTGTGTAGACGGTGTGCAATTTATTGAAGATTTCGTAATTTTGAAAATTTTCAAAAAAAAAAAAATATTCAAAATTTTCAAACAAAAGTTTAAAGTTTCAAAAAATCAAAGAACTGAAATTTTTCATCATTCTTAAAAAAAATCTCTTAATTTGGAAAAATTTCAAAAAATATCAAAATTTAAAAAAGATCGATCTTACAAACATTTGAAAATATTTTTCAAAAAAAATTGAGTGTTTTCAAAAATTCCCAAATTCTCAAAATATTCAAAAAAAAACCTTTTGCTTGATGTGTAGACTGTGTGCAAAAATGCTTTTACAAAAGATTGCGTACTTTAAAAAATCCAAATTTTCATAAAAAATTTAATCAGCAGAAAAATAAAATTTTCAAAATTTTTCATCATTTAAAAAAGTAATAACTTGGAAAAATTTCAAAAAATATCAAAGTTTCAAAAAAAATAGTAACTTACAAAAATTTGAGAATATTTTGAGATTTTCAAAAAAAAAAATGAATATTTCGGTGTGCAAAAAATGCTTTTACAACAAATTTTGTAATTTTGAACATTTTCAAAAAAAAATTAAAGTTTCAAAAAAATCAAATTTACCACACTTTTCATTTTCAAAAAAATTTAAATTTGTAAAAATTTCAAAAAATATCTGTATTTAAAAAAAAACGATCTTACAAAAATTTGAGAATTTTTTGAAATTTCAAAAAAAAAAAAATCGAATATTTCGGTCTATAATGCAAAAAATGTACAACAAATTTCGTAATCAAATATTCAAAAAAAAAAAATCAAAATTTTCAATAAAGGTTCAGTTTCGAATAAAAATCAAATTTTCGAAATTTTGCATCATTTTCAAAAAAAATCTAAATTTGGAAAAATTCAAAAAATATCAAGATTTAAAAAAAACGATTTTAAAAACATTTGAGAAAATGCTCAAAAAAAAATCGGATATATTAAAAAAATTAAAATTCTCAAAAAATTTAAAAAAATCGATTGTTTCAACATTTTCAAAATATTGAAAAAATTTCAAAATTATTAACAAATTTCTTGTAAACTTGTACACTATAATATAATAAACATTCTATTTGAAATCATTTAAATCAATTATTGATTATTTTCATTCCCCGAATAATTCGCTACGGCACGAGAAGTTCCAGCAATTTGCCTTAAGGCACGATGCCACTTTCAACTAGTTACATTTATCATTTAATACCTGTGTGTTTCCTCAAATGAACTCTCAGCTTATCGAAATTGGTTATAACTCTATCGCACATTGTACAGTTTCCGTCGGCCAGTTCATCAATTTCGGTTTTGACGTCGTTTTTCATGTCTCTGAAAGCGGACAGAGGTTTATCTTCATCGTTACTCGAATCTGCATCGCTCGATTGATTCTGTGAACCTTCATTCGAATCTTGCAATTTGTCCAAACGCTTTTGCTCCTTCTGTTTCTGTATGCGGAGCTGGGTGTCTCTTTTCGAAGGCCTGCCTCGCTTCCTGATAAAGGACACAATGGTAAAGGATACATTTATAACATAATATATATATATATATGTATATATATATATATATATGTATATATATATATATATATATATATACAGGGCCGGTCCTGCCTTGCATGCGATGCATGCAAAAAATGCGAGCGCACGCCTTAGGGGGCGCCAAATCGAGTTTCGGAAATTAAATCTATAATATATTAGTTACATTTTTTATTAATTATATAAAATTTATAATACTTAATAAATTCTTATAAACAATTTAACTTAACTAGGGATACGGAGACATAAAAAGCATATTTATTTTGCAATGTGATATCACACAGTAGAAACAATTAACCGTCTAATAACTGTGCAAATTAGTAAATAACAGCTCTGTTTATTGCTTAATCTACTTATTCATTTTTTTTATTTTAAAAAGAAATTATCTAGTGTTCAATTCCATAAGCGCAAACCTGCGAAAGATTAAGTTAATTATTGGGCATTATTGACGAAAAATTGCGAGCTGATTTAGTTGAAACAGAACTTGTTAAAAAAATATAAACAAATTATAAATCGGGAAAATGAATAATCGAGAGTCAGTGGTTAGAAAATGGCATGTTTATTCCGAGAAATTGAATTGTAACTTTTGTTTTTGTTGCAAATGTTTCGCATCTGGTGAACTTTGAATGTTGAAGACATGCGTGGTTAAGGTTATGGAAATGGAACAAATATGAAAAATAGAAGCAAATTTTACTTTGGAACGAAAATCTTAAGTTCTTTTTATACCTAGTGGTGTCCATACTCTAAATTTTCTTAATTATTAACTATGCAAAAATAATATCAAACATGATTAGTTTTTTTTTTCAATATAGTTCAAGAAATGTGTAATTTCTTTACATTTTTCACCGATTTTTGGACTTCTAAAATACGTTAAACTTTTAACTTTACAACAACAATCTGATTCTCTGAATACGATGAATACAATTCGGCTCTTACGATATCAATAAGGAGAAGTTTACGATGCCGTTTTGGATATTGTAAATAATGAAGAATTAAGTTAAATTAAAATTTTAAAATTCCAACACGAAATACGAGTGTTATGATTGAAAATGAAAAGCTAGTTTTTTTTTAGCTCTCTTGGCATGATTTGCTCAACAGAATAAATAAGTAAAATGTTTCAAAACCCAAATATTAATATTGCACATACGTTAAAAATAATTGAAAATTTAAAAATATATAATTATAATCAACCGGCGAATCGCCTCGATTTTTTAAATAAATTTAAAATCTTTATAAGCTTCTATATTATATCTATTTTTTGTGTACTAAATCCAGAATAATTAAAAATTAATTTTTTAAAAATATGTAAATATTTATATAATTTTAATGACAAACTGTCAAAACAATTAAAATTAATAGGGGGGGGCGCTAGAAAAAAAGTTGCATGCGTGCGATAAGGACCCCAGGACCGGCCCTGTATATATATATATATATATATATATATATATATATAAATCTCGTGTCACGATGTTGGTTCGCGATGGACGCCCAAACTACTGAACCGATTTTGATTTTTATTGGCTCATCGTGCGCGTATATATTCAACTTAGGTTATAGGAAATTTTGAAAAGTAAATTTAAAATAATAAATATATAATTTTTATAATTTTCTAAAATTATGACAGAAAATGATCAAAAAAAAAACAAAATGACAAATGTCAAAATTTAAGGAAATTTCGATATATAATTTTTGAGAAAAAAATTTGACATTTCAAAAAATAAAATTCAAAAACATGTACATATATAGAAATATCCAACATTTAAATCCAAATTCGATGAAATGCTATATTCAAAATCGCTGTTTATAGTTTTAAATCTAATTAAAAATCAATGTTTATAAATTTGAATAAATGTTGACATGAAAATCGTCAAATGTCATTTGTCAATATTTATAAAAATAATTATATAAATAGATTTACGATTTAGATTTAATTGATTAGCTTACCAAATTATTTCGGAAACCAAAACTTCATCAAAACATTATAGATCAGAGATCACAATAAAAAAGCGGCATATTTAATTTAAAATTAATCATAAACAAAATTTTGACATTTCACAAAAAAATGTTTCACGACTTACTTCAATAAGAAGCAAATAAATTAATTATTCCAAGTTATGTTATAGGCAATATTGTCAAGCAAATTATAGATATACATTATTGTAAAATAAATATTATCATATTATATTAATTTTGGACCAAGAAGGAAATATTTTGACATTTATAAATTTAGTGCATATTGGATATATGAAATTGACATTCACTTTTTTTCAATTAAATTCAAATGTAAAAAATCAAATATTTATATAAAAAAATTTATATTTAGATGAAGATTCTGCATTGATTTATACTAAAATTTAATTTATTCTTTAATTAAAAAAGAAATTGACATAAACAAAATTAAAACTAGCTGTAAGTGGAATTCTGTCTGGAGGCAATTATGGCATCGTGCCTTAAGGCAAATTGCTGGAACTTCCCGTACCGTAACGAAATGTTCGAGGAACACTGAATGTTTTCAAATAGATTCTTATAAATATTGTAACATTGTCTAATATTTATAAGAATTATATAAACTGAATTGCAAAGTTAAAATTATTTGTAAAGTATATTAGAACTATAGTCAGAATTAAAAATAAAATCTGAATTATTTTCGATATACAAAAAATTAAAAAAAAAAAAAAAGTTTGAACAAAAATTTTTTTTCCAAAATCAATTATTTTGTTAAGACAAGCAGAAAGTTCTTTGAATCATCTAAATCGGACGCTTAGTTCTCTCAAAAACTGCCATTTTTTACATATTTAGCTCCGTATCTTCGAAACGGCTGAACCTGCCTTCGCCAAAAACTAATCAGCTCTTTTCCCTATCAATAGGTATCGGATGTTTTTTAAACCATTCAAATCGGTTGATCCGTGCGCCCGAAAACGTGACTGGAAATTTGTATCCATACATACATACACGCACACACACACACACACACACACACATCCATTTTTTCTGAGGTATGCCAAAATGTTCAGAAACCTTCAAAACGTCGAGAAATGTAAAAATTTTCAATTCCAATTTCCGGCGCATTACAATAACTTACCCTACGGGAAGTTAATAAACAAAACACTATGATGCGTTGGAATTATTTATCGGAGTGTAAAGAAATTTGTGTAATTAAAATTTAATATTATTATTAATATATCAGTTAAGATATATTTTGATTGTCATCGCAAATGCTGATCTTACAGGAAATTGTAACCTCTTAAATGGAATAAATAGTACATTCTGAGGGTATCATTGGAATCTGACAAAAACAAACTAGACAAACTAAATATTATATCATATTATATTAAATTTTTGACCGAAAAGAAAATATTTTGACAGTTATAATTAATTTGAAATAAAATGCAAATGTCAAAAATCAGATCTTTATGTAAAAAAATATTTATTCCCACAATATTCCTGTGTTGATTCAGCCAAACTTATGAATTTAACAGTTATATAATTATTCATTGATGACTTAAAATAATTATTAATTTATTAACAAATAAATAATATTTGATAGAAAATTTTATTGACATATATGACATGAGAAAAGTATAATAAACAAAAAACTATGATGCTAGTGAATTAATTTTTGAAGTATAAAATGTCAAATAATTTTTAAAATTTTAACAAGTTTTTAACTATTTGTCAAAGAATCAGACACCAAATCTATTAAATATTTGATTTTTGGCACATTGATTTAGGCATATTTTTTATGGCAAAACAACGTTTGCCGGGTTAGCTAGTACATATATATATATATATATATATATATATATATATATATTATTATTATTATTACCTAGGGCTTTCCTTGTGCGATACAATATGTAAACTGAGTTGGTTCCTTTCATCAAAGCTTTCCGTACAAAATTGGCATTTATACTTTTTCTTGACGCTACTTTTCTTAGGTTCTTCTACAACAGGCTCTGTTATCGCTTCTTCTGGTGCTTCTTCCTCGATATTGGCAGTGGTACTACTACTCTGTTCATCGGGTTCTTCTTTTATTTCTTTCGAATCACTAACTTCCATCGTGTCATCTGCATGCATTGTTGTTATGTGTCGGTTGAGGTGTGACATTTTTGCAAAACCTGAAAACGATAAAAACTAGCTGTAAGTGGAATTCTGTCTTAAGGCAATTAAGGCATCGCTAATTAATTGCTGGAACTTCCCGTACTAAAAATTATTATTTTTTTAAAAACGATTAACATTTTTGAAAAAATTTTACTTCGAAAAAATAAAATTTTTGAGAAACTATAAATTGGACAAAAAATTACTTTTTAAAAAAAAAAAATTTAAAAAAAAAAATTATAAAATTTTTTTTTTAAAGAGTTTTTTTTTGAAAAAAAAAATGTTTTTTTTATTTTGACATATTTTGGAAGATCTGAACTTTTTTTCAAAGCAATCGTACTGCTTTAACTGCATAAAGACAAAATATCAAAGCGCGTAAGCGCCGCGTCGCTGTCTAACGGATAAACATTGGTACGGAACCCATAGGAATGTAAACAAAAATTTATACTTATTGTTAAAATCTCTATAAAATATCTGATAATTTTAGGTGCATATGTCTAATGGTCATTTTTAACCGCCAAATGACATTTTTTTTTTTACTTTTTTCGTTAGATTTCCGAAACCGCTAGACCTGCCCTTATGAAAATTTTATCAATTCTTCATCTTGTCAATACAAGTCAAATGTTTTTTGAATTATTAAAATCGGACGCTCCGTTCTCTTAAAAACTGAATTACCGTTTTCGGCACTTTTTGCCCCGTATCTTCGGAACGGCTAGACCTGCCTTCGCCAAAAACTAATCAGCACGTTTCCTTATCAATACGAATCGAATGTTTTTTGAATTTTTCAAATCGGTTGATCCGTGTTCCCGAAATCGTCGACGAAAACTTGTATCCGCACGTACACACACACACACACACACATACATCCATTTTTTCTAAGGTATGCCAAAATGTTCAGAAACCTCTAAAACGTAAAGATATATAAAAATTTTCATTTTCGATTTTTTTGCGATTACTATAACTTGCCCTACAGGAAGTTAATAAATAAATAAATAAATATAATTCATACCTCTGTTGCATATCCCGCAATGTTTCAAATGCTCTCCAGTGTGCAGACGAGTATGCAAAGTCAAGCCTTTAGCATCTACAAGTATTTTATCACAATAATCACATTCGAAAGGACTCAATTTGGTTTTGTTCAACTTAACATTGCTAAAAGTATTATCTAAAACATAACAAAAAACACACCAGTAAATATAAATCAATCACAAATCAATCAATTACCTCACCTTTTCCTCTCCTGGTCCTCTTCGACCGTTTATGGTTCAGAATGATCTCTCCGTCAGAGTCATTATCAAAATTATTGTCACCACCTTCGTAGAAGTTTTCAGTGAGTGGATCGCTCTCGACGATTGTGATTTCGGGTTTGATGGGTAAATGGAAGTCATCACCGTATAGTTCTTGTTTGACAACTGGTGCCAGTTTTTATGTTGGGGTGCTTCCGGGTGATGTAGTCTCTTAAGGTTGCATCGCTTCGCTCACATCTTTGTTTGAAGGTGAAGGAACTGTTGAGTTGGGTTATGCATTGGGTGCAGATCTTGGATGGCATTCCGTCGTTTTCGATGACCTGTGTAAAATAAAAATTTTGCTAGTGCCTTAGGGCAAATTGCTGGAACTTCCCGTACCGTAACGAACTGTTCGAGGAATACTGAATGTTTTCAAATAGATTATTATAAATATTGTTACATTGTCTAATATTTATAAGAATTATATAAACTGAATTGCAAAGTTGAAATTGTTTGTTTAAGTTATATTAGAACTATAGTCAGAATTAAAAGTAAAATCTGATTATTTTCGATATGCAAAAGAAAAATTCTTTGAAAAAAAAAATACTGAAACAAAATTGTTTTAAAGCAATTATTTTGTTAAAACAAGCAGAAAGTTCTTTGAATCATTTAAATCGGATGCTTAGTTTCTCTCAAAAAACTGCCATTTTTTGCACATTTAGCTCTGTAATCTTCAAACGGCTGGACATGCGTTTGCCTAAAACTAAAAAAGCCCAAAGTTTCTACGATATTTCCGAATTTGCCAATTTCGATATCAAACTATGTTGATAATGAAATGCCTACTCTGATATGACTTTTTTTTTTTCAACAGTTACAATTATTTTATTCCTTTTCCATATTTTTTCTAATTTTTATTCCAAAATATTTTAACATTTTCCTACACTAAGTATTTTATCATTACAATGTTTTCATACTATATTCTTTGCATAAAGGATATTTAAAGGATTTTTATTACCATCAGAAGAATATCAAGATCTACAATCTCATCTTTTAAAATAACGATCTCAATATCATAACATTTTTTCTTCAAGTTATTGCATTTACATAATACTAATGTTAGGATTAATATTGTTTTAGTATTGTATTTAATCTAAGATAATTTGTTAATAAGATAAGATTATTTTTTTCTGTAATTACTAAATGCAATCCTGTATCCAAAATATAAATATAAATGTATTTGAATCACTAAATTCATAAAATCGATAAAAACTCTTGTTTTAAAATAGTTTCTATTTTAAAATTTTTGTTGAATTTAAAATTTACTGGTTTGTATTGATTTTTACAACATCCATTGCAAATTTATATAAATTGATGTTTAAAATTATAAATGTATGATATTAATTTAATAACCAAGGAATCATTGATTATGTTCAGAAATATGTTGAATAATGAATTAATATAAATCTTAAAATAGTTTTTTGATTAAATCTAGTTTGATTCAAATTCCACTATCTTGTATTCATTTTGTGCTATTTATTACAAATGTATAAAAAAGATATATGTAAAATTACAAAATTGCTATAATGAAGATTTACATGTTAAACAAAAAGAACAAATATTGGAAATTTGACAAAAAATATCCAAATCTCCTTAAAATGGCTTTATACCAAAATTATGTTTATAATTGAACAATAATAATATATCATCATTTAAAAAAAAGTATTTTTTAATAAAAAAAATTATTAAATCACAGTCTTGAATTTGTTTCACAGTAAAAAAATTGTTTGAATTGTAAGATTGCTACCAAAAGTATATATTTTAATCACATTTATTAGAAATGCATAAAAATTTACATCGAAACAAATAAATATGAACATTTTATAATATATGAAACAATGAGTAATCTAATAATTAACAAATAAGTGAATTGAAACTATAATTCTCACTTTTTGGTAAAATTTAGTACAAAAACCTCAAATTTTTGACAATAAATATCAAAAATCGTCTTCAAAATAGTTTTTTAAACAAAAATAAATAACTTAGATACTCTGATAATTAAATAATAATAATATAGAGCACTTTTTAAAAAGAGTTTTTTAAAATAAACAACTGAGTTATCAAATCACACACCCCTTAATTTGTTTCATGGTTAAAAAAATTTGTTTGTATTGAAAATTTACACCGAGTATTCATTTTACACATTTAATAAAAATGTAGGAAAAGTTGATACTAAAATTTATGATATATAGATTTTATAATAACATTCATCAAGGAATTACTTCAATAAATGTAAATTTAATACAGAACCTTTATTTTGAATTCATGTGGTAAATATCAAACTGTCTTCATAATATTGTTTAGATAAACATAAGCTTGTTACATTGATAATTAATCAATAACTTGATATAGCACTTTTAAAATGTATTTTTAAAAGCAAATAATCATAAATAAAATTATTGAAGCAAACTCCTTACATTAGTTTCTCGATTCGATGCAAAATTAACTATTGTGGTAGATTTTCATAATATTTATTTGAACTGGGTAAAAAAATTGCTAGCAAAAGTGATCAATATAAATGTTATCTAATATATTAGCGAAAAAATTACTTAAAATAAAGAAATATGTAAGTCAATTCAAACCTCAAATTTTGTTTGACATATGACAATAAATATCAAAATAGTTCTTGAACAAAAATAAATAGTTTAGATACTTTGACAATTAAATAATAATAATATATAGCACTTTTTAAGGTATTTTTTTAAATAAACTAAGTAGTTAAATCATATCCCTTAAATTGTTTCACAATTAAAAACTCTGTATTAAAAATTGCACCCAGTATTCATTTTTATCGCATTCATTAGAAATGTAAAATCAAAGTAATAAATATAAAGCTCTAATAAAGATTAATTAAGGAATTACTTTAATAATGAAAAAAAATACTTGTTAAATAAAGAAAATAAGCCAATTGAGTCTATCATTGTCAATTTTCATAACAGAACCTCAAACTTTGTTTGACATTTGACAATAAATATCAAAACTGTCTTCAAAACATTGTTTAAAAAAAAAAAATAAACAATTTGACTCTCTTGTAACTCAAAAATAATATAATAAGGTACTTTTAAATGAATTTTTTGAAAAACACATTTCAAAACAAAGAGTTTACA